GCACATTAGCAATGTGATGGGCTGCCAGCTTCTGCAATATGAACCGGACTGCTATGACCGACTAACAAGCTTATGAGCCTAGGCCCAGAGCCTATAGGCCTACAGCTTAGACGTGAAAACCTACAAGGCATAAGGCTGGGCTTTGCGTGTAGCTGCTGGAACAGCACTCGTGCACAGCGTCACTGCTATCGCTGCACCACATTGCCTGGACGCTGTAGAGAACTACTTCCCCAGAGCCTCCAAAACACCTGAAATAAGTAATGTGACTACAGTGACTACAAGAAACCTTAAACTATATTCGATTATTCGGAGTCCTATTCCAAATTAAGGTGCATTCCTTATTCCAGGTATTTTGGAGGCTCTCGGACTTTACCTAGATCCATGTCAGTGGCCAGGCCTGGTGTCGGCGTCGGGTCATGCAAACGCTGCATCACACGATAGTCTGTGTGCGTGCTGAGTTGATCACGATCACATCACTGTTTTGGGCCGTTCCCAAACAATTTTCTGCATAGCATTGACACAGCCTATATAAATTCAATGATTCCAAGAATCCTAATCATAATCTATGCCCTATAGAACCATGGTACCTAGAGTCCTAGAGTGACCTAAAGTCTAGAAATGGGACAGTGCACTGCTACCCGGTACGCGGCTATCTATCCAAACCATGGCCACTGCACCAGCATGCCACTCCACAGAAGGCACCAGAGGGAACACTGTTACGAACAGTGTTCCGGCAGAGAAAAAAACATCCCTTCGACGTCGCTCCACGTCGCTCCTTCGACGTCGCTCCACGTCGTTTACTCTATACTTGGAAAGCAGGGAACTTAATGACTGAGTAAGTAAGTAAGCAAGTAAGTGGTAAGTAGACGAAACAGACTGTGACGAAGCAGACTCATCAGTAACCTGAAAAGGATTGTAATTGGAACTAGCCCATTCAATAAGTCTACTTAATGTACTACCTGCTACTACCTACTTTGTAAAGTCACCCTGACTTTCCAAGTCTACTATATGTCGCACTCTACTTCTTCGCCGAATGCTGCAAGGAAGCCTCTCTCTCAGCAGCTGGACCTAACGATAATTTGCAAGGCTACTGTGCAAGCGCAAGGTTGAAGGTTCGTTTTGGGATTCAGTTTCGGTTTGGGGTTGCATAAGAGATGGACGATTAAAGCAAGTCCCACAAAGGCTGACAGCCCCCCCCCCCCTCACAAGTAGCTGCATCCTTTATGCCTGCCTGAACCCCAAACCCAAAAGCCTGCACATGCAGCCTGAACACCACACCTAAAACCAAGTATCCCCAAGCAAACCCTTACCATCCCCATCCAGAAACCCTCAACTCTCTCTCCCTGTCATGAAAGCTGTCGTAATGTCCAACCAGATCCGAGCTGTCCCTGAGCAGGGCTTGCAGCTTGCAGCCATCGAATTAAGGCATGGAATCTGCACATCGCTGAAAAGTCCGGATTTACTCAGGAAACTGTTTGCAGAGGTAGAGTGCCCAGATAATCGTGCCTATGCACGGCAGTGCATAGCCCTCTCCCGCCAGGCTCCGCTTCTTGTTGTCTGTCATGTCAGCAGGAAAATGATAGTCATCAGGGTCATGCCCCTGCAGGCGAAAGTGCTCATCTACCGTGAGAACACGATCTCTGGAAAACACATACACCTGGCTTGAGGTTGTCAGCGTCCTGTGGACGCTGGTCTTATTGACAACCTTTCGATTGTGAGATTGCGACACGTCCAACCAAACGCCTTGCATCAAGTCCCGCAGCTGCCGATCAGTCAGCCTCACACCTAGCTTTCTCACAGACATGAGCCGTTCTGCCACGACACAATCCATGAGATCACAGATTCGAGGATTCAAAGTCAGCCCTGAACCACGAAAGTTCGGACGGCTCGTCCAAGGCCGATAATCAGGGAGTACACCAAGCTTGTCGCGCCAGCTGCAGCTCTCAAACCACCACTTCGGCTTCGGCGCCGTCGGGTCATCAGTGTCCAAAACCTGGCAGCAGGGCAGTGCCAGGCCAGGCGGGCAGGACAGCCAGGAGGAAGGGGTCGGGGCATCCGGGGAGCTCGGGACTGGGCTGGCTGGGTCCGGCGGGTTGGGCCTGGAAAGCGGCATTTTCAACCCATTTGGACCTCCATGTTTCCGCCATTCCAGACCCCATTCCAGACCCCATTCCAGACCCCATTTTTGGTCCATTCAAATCCCATTTTTTTTGCATTTTGCTAGGCAAAATGCAAAAAAATGGGATTTGAATGGGAATGAAATGGAAACCAGAGGAGAGTAAGTGGGAATTAAATGCAACAACACATGGACTGGAAAATGCAAGGGAAATGGCTCTCCCAATGTAAGAGAAGAACTAGTCCTGGAAGCCGTTCCGTTGAAATGCGAAAAAAATGCAAGGCCGGGGTCCGGGCAGTCCCAGGGCCGAGGCTTGGGAGGGGGTCGGGAGATGGGGAGGGCCTGGAAAGGGATCTCTGAAGGGCAGCGGCTTTACTTCATAGGAACAATCGACGAAACAGCAACAAGTTTCCAAGTTGGGTTCAGAAGCCTCGCAACAAGCACAGTAATTACAGCGACAGCCACAGCTAAGCAGCTAAGACAGCTAAGACTCGTAAGACGGCTAAGCATGGTCAAGAGTTCACAGCGACCGACTGCCAAAGGAGTGAAACTACGTCTGCCAGGTTCTGGACACAGCAGTGCTGCAAACGCCTGAAGTTGCCGAGGCTGCCCAACAGCCACGTCCTCCTCACGAAACTTGCCACGAAACATCACTAAACGACCAGCAGACTCACCAGACATGTGTTGCTGCTTGCAGCTTGCAAGATTCTGCAAGATCAAACGCGCTTCACTAAAGAGACTGAGATCTGCTCACTCATGGGATCGGCAAAGCCAGCTACAGCACAAGCTCAGGGATGGACACCGATGGACTCCATTCTCATGGCTCTAAATCAACCCACCCTGAAGCTCCATCGTCACTACCAGTGAATACCACCAACTGTCACTAACTCTGGAACCACCGTCCGTGTCCTCATTCTCTTCTGACAGCAAGGTCTCGCAATCGACTGGGCCGGCAGCTTTCTGCTTCAGCACAATGTCCTGACAGCAACGGTGCAGCACAAGTCAAGACTTTTCAGACAAGGGAAGCTATAGTAATAGAGTATTAGAACATAACAACAATAATAACAAGAACCCGAATCTAGAAACTCTCATCTGCAATCTACAATCTACAAATCTACATTCTACAAGATGGTTGAACGCTGACGGCAGAAACTACAGTAACAGTAACTGTAACTGTAACTGTAATAACACTACAATACTGAAGGCTGAGCTCCTCAACGATTGCTTCGAAGCGGGACACATCCGCCTCCGTGTATTTGTCCTTGCGGAAGAAGACCAGGAAGATCCTGCGGCCACAATTTGCAAACTGTCTCTAGCAGACTCTAGCAGCTCTTGCAGACTCTAGCAGCCACACACTCTAAGTCTCAGTCCAGCGCACAAAAACTTGCAGGAGCAAGACTGCCAGGAGTCCAGGAATACTTTGACAGTTGGTGATTGTAGTATTGTAAATATTGTAGTGCACTGTTCGGAAGTAAGTTTCACAAACATGTGGACCCAGACCTAACCATTTCAAACAAATAATGAAATAATGACGAACCTCCTGGCTACGTCCCCCCGACTGTCCAAATAATGGCAGCTAACAGGCAGCATTACTGCATCTGAGCAAGAGCAAGACATCTTTTTTTCAAAGACCCGGCCAGGTTGACTGAACACTCTGTGCTGAGCTGCAGCTGCAGCTAGGGGTTCCACACAGGTCCGTTCTGCGCTGGGCACTTTTACATTCTTTTAACAAGCCTGAAGGGTCGTTCTAGAGTATATTAGAGTCGCCAAGGATCATTAACATCATTATTAGCGTTGTTAGAGCTGTTAGAGTTAGAGTTAGAGTCTGTTAGAGTACAGCAGTAAAACACTGCAGTGGAAACTTGTGGACCCCTGTGCCAGCAGACGAGCTGATCAAGTGATCCGGCTGGGTTCAGCGTCAGGCTCCCATTCTTCCTGTGGACGTTCGAAGGCAAACAAGCTGTCAGAGTGCGGGAGTGCTGCTAAGCGAGCACGAGCTTCCTGCCGCTATTGCAGGGGAGGAACTGGAGCATGCACATGGTCTCGCTGGGAGTCGTAGGCAGAGCAAGTTTCGAGCCAGCGCATGAGCATGCCCAATGGCCTGCCCTGCCCGTTTCGCTTCGAATGATCTTTCGGCTGTCGCGATGCACCTGTCGCGATGCGTTTGCGGGTGCATGCCAGGGGCAAGCCCTCCGATGAAGCAGCTGACTGGTGGCTTGCACAGCGGCATGTAGCCACGAAGGTCTTGTTCTTCTTATAGTAACGGATGCTACCAAGTCCTGCAACATCCACAACAAGTTCTGCAGCATGTCTCGGGCCAGGATCCCGCCGAGTCGAAGGTTGCGCATCAGAAGGCTGTTCAGGCCTCGAGCTGCTGCTTGCCGCCCCAGCATCAGCTGCCTCCACGTGAGCAGATGGCTTTGAAGACCCGGCGGAGTTGTTACCTGCAGAGATGGAAAGGCCTTTAAATTCCAGGGTCTGGGGGACTGTAAGGGTTGTCTAGGTGCGTAGGCTCTAGGACTCTAGACTCTAGGGCAGGGCACTAAAGTGCAAACAAAAACGAAAGATTCCAGACTACTAGAGTTTCGAACAAAGCACCCAAGGTGGCTTGAGCCGCATCATCAAAAGGCAATTCTTGGTTGGCGAACTCTGCGTCCATCAGATCAAATGCACGCTGGAGCCAGGCAGGAGTGTTTGCATCCTCATCCTGCTCACCATCTGTGTAGTCATCAACAGAAGCAGCAGGAGGATGGTACTCAACAGGTCCCACACCACCGCCGAAGTCTTCATCAGGATCAGCAGCAGCCATGTCTACATCGGCATCCGGCATGTCTCCCGGGGCAGCTGCAGAGGTCTGCCGACGCCGCAATGCCGGCATGGCTGGACGGATGCTTTGCCTTTGCTGTTGCTCGCCTTCCGGACGATTCCGATGCTTGTGGCGCGACCGGGCTTCCGCAGCCGCCTCAGCCTCAGCAGCGTTAGCAGCCTCCCTGTCCGCACCCTGCCAGACAAGGATTTCATGGCAGTTTTTCAACGCTCTGACGTCAATCTGGTCGGGCACCATGTCCTCCAGTTGCACACTTGTCGGCAAACTCAGAACTTCATACAGCTGCAAGGACCAAGAACAGTTGTAGTCGATGTGCTCGCACATAGCTTCCAAGAGAGTTCGAAAAGTCAGCTCTTGTAAGATGCTCAATGTGAGAATGTCCAAGTCAGCATCTTGTAGATCTAAATCTGCGCGTTCCAAGCAAAGACCGGAGGCTTCATACGTGCGGAAATTCATGTAACCAACATGGAACCAAACCTCATCATCGCAGATGCCACCTGGTGGCAGTGCAATTGGTGCCGAAGCTGCAGTGGCATGGGAGCTGACGTTTGCCGGGTTCTGCAGCAAGGAAGCCACATACTCTTCCCAATCAGGCTCCGGTTCTGCACGCTCAGGCTCGGCTTCCTTCTTTCTGAAGCAGAGGACAAGATGTCCTGACTCCGCCAGAAACCTGGCCTCTGGTTTCACGGGTTTGGGCTCCAAAAACTGTTTTGTGGTGGCATCACGCTTGCGACTTTTGGCAACCAGCAGAGGCCTGAGCAATTTGATTGTCTTGGTGTGCAGGCGGAAAGCCTGTTGGCCTCGTCCACTGCATACACACATTGCCAAACGATGGCAAATAGACGGTTCAAACAGCTCCCGGAAGTCACTGTCTCTGATGCGAGGCTCTTCTTTCTCGTAGGTCATCTGGTGATGCTGTTCCCATGCCTCGTGGAGGGCTGTTTTCAAGCCAGTTTCCAAGCCTTGCCCACGTCTGCCTTGATCTCGGCATGCAACCTGACAGGGTTTCAAAACGCGGACAAAGCGACTTGTCAGGGGAGATGTTGAAAACCTGAATGTTCAGAATTCAGAAACTCTCGCAGCAGGCCCTGACCTTGCTTTGAATCCGTGACGCTCCCTTTCCACGCCTTCTGCTGCCAAGTTACCAGCTACTGACAGTTACTGCTTGGAAGAAGCCTAATAAGCCTAATATCAAAGGGGCTTAAGGCTTAAGGGCTTAAGACTTGTCGATGCAAGTAAGTAAATAAGTAGACTGTGGGCTATAGACTGTAAACTGTAGACTGTAGACTGTAGGCTTTGTAGTCCTAGTCACTAGTCACTCGTCACTACTGAAGTACTGACGACTCTACTGACCCCTATTGTCGCAGCCCAGTGACACAGGCAAACGGAATCGTAGGCGGCACCCAGTGGACAGAGGGAAGGCTTCCTCCGAACCACTTGAAGTGCTCTTTGTCTGAATCCTGCATTTGGCAACATTCTGTTGCCAAAGCTGACAACTCCTCCGGCTGTGGAGCGAAGTGGGACATCTCGGAAACAGAGTCTTGCAGCTGTGCCAGGGCTTGTGTCCGGTTGGAGCATTCTGCACGAAGCTGCGCATCCAAGGCCAGAAGAGCTTGTTTCACATCGCTTCCTGGTGGCGATGGTGCCAGCTCACCTGGCGGATGTTGCACAGGCTGCAACTGGCCAGCTTGGGCCACGCGGGCAGCTGCAGGGAGCGCCGATGTCTTGGGGAACGGTTTGAATCCCTCTTCACCTGCGATCCGCGCCAGTCGGCCCAACTCGTCGTAGTAAGATCTATCATCGCTGCTGAGCTGCCAGTACTCCGCGGACAGTTGCTTGACATAGTCCCCGGAGAACCTTCGGCGAACGCCCAGCGACTTGATGTGCTGAAAAGCATTCCAGGACCCTCCAGGCTGCTTAGCCCGCTTCTGCTTGGTCGCCTGACCTTCTTTTTTCACAGGGCGACGTGCCATCCCTATCCGACCGGCCCGACTGCTGGTTCGTGCCTTGTGCGTGCTCCAGCGAAGATTCTGCAGGGCCTGCTGCTGGACCACAAACTTGGCACTGACCATCGGCAAGTCGGCTCCGCTGGTCTGGTTTGAGAATAGCTTCACATGTCGTCTGATGCTGGCGTGACGAGCTTCGATGCCGGCGATGTCGAGGTCGTACATCGTAGCCAATGCATGCAGGAACGATTGCGCCTCCGATGATTGGAGTCCTGAGTCCTCGAAGCGGTCGCGGAACTGGGAGGACAATTCATCTAACAAGCATTTCGAAACATTCAAAACAGCATCGTTCCCAAGCAGGGCCCCGAAGAGCTGTGTCGGAAATCCCCGACGAAACCGCTCCAGCAACTGATGGTGACATGCTCCAGCTCGAGCTGCACATCGGAAGAGCAAGGTCCTCAAGCTTTTGGCAAGAGCTCTCGGCGGAAGTGCCGATGGAACTGAAGTGAATATGCTTCTCAAGCTGTCGAAAAAGTCATGGGATGCCTTGCCGCTGTACTCGTCCAAGATTCGGTAGCGTCGGACGTTGCTGCCCTCAAGGCTTTGCTGCATGTCCCACGTGTCACCACTCACCTTGAGGGCATGGTAAAGCAGCTGCAGGTTGCAACTCATGACCGGCCGGCATATAGCCAACGCAGCAGACGGGCATTGCTGTGCAAACACCGCAGCTTTCCTCTTCATTGCCGCATTGAAGTCAGCCCAACTCATCTCAGCTGTTGCCAGCTCAGGCGCATCAGGATCTCCAGCACTGGCATCCTGCTGCGCCGGCGGTGGTACTGCTTGCTCAGACTCAGGCCCTCTCTCTCCAGAATGGACTCCAGAAACCAAATTCAAGCAGAAAGCATCCCAATCATCATCTGTAGCAGTAGCACCCACGCCAGCTTCATGAGGCCTGCCAGGCCTGCCAGCATTCGGCCGGGCAGCAAGACTGCTGTCAAGCCCTGCCCATAATGGCACCAGGTCTGAAAGAAGGTCGAAGCCTGGACTCGGGCTTAACGGGCTGCAATGATACGGTATGTTACATTCCGTGCTTGCTGACTATTTTGGCTTTCTGCGATTCTGAGGTTCACGGCAGTGAGCTTGCACAGCTTCTGATTCGACACTATGGCATTATGTCAGTATGTCTATGCGCCATGACAATACGACTACGACTACGACATCTGTAGACTCTAGTTAGACTCTAGTCTAGCCCTAGGACCCTAGGATCACTATTCAAATTCACTATCCGGTTATTACAAATAGGTACTCCAAGAAGCATAGGCCCAACAGCAACACCCAATCCAATGCCAAGTCCCCGCCGGTCCACCGGGAACGGGGAAACACCGGACAGCGGTGAGGGATGAGGGCCGGGACGAGGTGCTCGTCGAGCTCAGCGAAGATTTGATTTTCATCTGGGACCGGGCCAGAAGGCCAAAAGAACAAGATCCTCGTACCACGCAAGTTGCTGCCTCGGAAGTAGTGTTCAAGGACAAGGCGTTGTCGCCGCCTCACACGGTTAACTTTCGCTCCCTCGTCCCCACTGCCACTGCAATCAGACAGGCACATGTCGAAGACTTGTTCCCTGTATGCATCGTTGTCCGCATTGTCAGGTGGATCTCCGATGCAAATGTCAACTCTTTTCCGGAGAACAGACGATAGTGCATCCCTCATCTTCGATGTCGCACCCGCCATTTGCATGGCCACCGCAAGAGCAATGATGCCAGATATGTGGCCGTCCACAAGGTTGCAGCACTGAGTTTGCTGTTGGGCGAGCTTGTGAATCTTACAGAAGCCATGAGCCTTTACAAAGGATGCATCCTCCAGCTGCATTGACTTCTCACATTTGATGTTCGGACCCGCTCTGTCCGTCATGACCAACTGAACCTTGAAGGCTGCTTCCCTCGCCAACCGGCGCAATTCCGGAACGGAGCTTTCTAGGTTCAGCTGACATGCTTTCAACGTTTCACCAGTGCAAGCATCAAACGATGAAAGAGTCGTGGGTAGTGTCGTTCGTGCAAACATGTATTGCTCATTCTTCTGCAAAAGGACCCCGAAAGAGAGCTCCGTCTGCAGAAGCTTTGTCGGCACAGCGGTACCCTCCTCTGAAGACTTCTGCCGAACCCGCAACGGCGTCTCATCATATCTGCGCTTTTTCACTAGCATAACCACTTTGGCACCAGAAGCGAGGATGCTAGAGGCAAGGTTGCCAAACATCATTGAGGCACCCCAGTAGACCGCTGCACCTGTGCGAAGCAGCATGCTCTTCAGATTGCGACGTTCATTGTCCACGGCTGAAGCTTCAGCTGTAAACGACAAGCCGGGCTGCAACTGCATCAAGTGTCGCTTCACAAAGCTTGCGGCATCAGGATCTACTTCGGGAGCCGTTGGCTTGCGTGATGCCATCACACACAACATCAATCTCTTCTGCAACTCGGAACCCAAACTTCGGTAACGCCAGAGCTCACTGACCGAGCCTTCTGGTTGCCCATCTTGAGCAACCTGAGCCGCTTCCCGAGCTCGAGCCCGACACAGTCTCGCTTTTGCAGCTCTCGCGCATCCGCTATCCTGCTCCTCACCCTCGGGATGAGCTGCATCCCTGAGGGCCTTCAAGTCACGCTTGTAGGCAGCACTACCACCGGAGCCAATTGGCCGTGTTCTTTTCTTCTCCTTTGCAGCCCCAGCTGGAGCGGGCACTGAGGCATCCATGACATCATGAAACGATAAATATGTTTGACATGTTTCCAACAACTTGTCTCTGTCGTCGACCGAACACTTCGAAATTCGAAACACCTGTCAGCTAGTCCCCTTCTCAGGCCCTTCTGCTTGCCACCGTGACAGTTACAGAAGTAAACAAGCACCGGAACACCAATAACCTGACATGCCCCTGCGGCCTGCGGCCCCTGCATGATCGACGCGAGCGGATAGATTTAAGGCTTTCCAGGAAAGCCATGTTCTTGGGGTTTGTTGCTGGGAGCTTGATGTTCGTTAAAGGATTTGACCTAACATCAACCAAACTGCTCAAACCGAGCGCATAACACATCAACGCGAACACACACACACACACACACACACACACAGCCCTGCGAAAACACGACCGCTGCTTTCAGGTTTTGGGGTTTCTGGTTAACAACTCCCCATGCACACACGCAGGCAGGATCCCTATACCAAGGATGGGTTGAGGCTTTGGGGATGTTTGGGGTAGAGGATATTACAGGGTTTGGAGTTCCCCTACGCAAACACACGGACACAGCCACGATCCTTGTGGCAAGGATGGGATGCGGGTTTGCAGATGTTTGGGGATTACGGTTTGGGGTTCCTTCGACCACGGAGGCACGACCCCTACCCTACAGCAAGGATGTGTTGAGGGTTACGGGATGTTTGGGGGATAAGGTTTGTGGGTTCTCCCTTGCACACATGCAAGCATGGGTTTAGAAGTTTAGGGTTTGGGGTTGTTTGTGGATGTTTAGGGATTAGGGCTTCAGGTTGTCCCATGCACACACGCAGGCACGAGCCCCGGTAGCAAGGATGGGTTTAAACGTTCAAGTTTTAGGTGTGTTTGGGAATGAGTGTTTCGGGTGCTCCCATGCACATGTACCCACAGGCACGATCCCTGTAGGTAGTAAGGATGATGTTTGGTGGGTTTGGTTTCAAATTCTCCCATGCACACACGCAGTCACCATCTTTGCAGCTGTAGCTAATGGGTTTACACAAACTTAGACTTTAGACTTTAGCCATTAATCATTAATCACTTTAATTAGGGTGGGTCCATCTGGGGATTGGGATTCGGACTTGTCTCGGCTGTGGGTTGCCAACGCCCTCGAAAACACATTCACAACTGACGCGATCGCACAGACACACAGCCGGACCGACACACACACACAATCTCCAAACCCGAAGCCCTAAACTGGCCCTAAAGTGCAAGACTGAAGCTGTTGATTTCTTTGCTCGAACAGAGCCTCAAGTTTGAACGGATGAAGGTTCAAGGCCTGATTGCATTTTTTTGTGCTTCCGTACATGCTTCACCTGGCTGCCAACTTCGGCTGATCCAGAGCCACGGTATCCTGACCGGTGCAAGCAAGACTTCAAGACGGCAGGACATGTGTGAGCAGAAACCATGACAGTGCCAGTTGAGGAACAGCCCAAAGATCAGACCTCGTCGTACGTTGGAGAGCTGTACCGCAGACAGGTCGCAGCCTAGCCGCAGCCGCAGCAAGCGATGCTTATTTCGTGTTGTAAAGCAGTCGGTCCTGCCTCAACCAGTATGGCCTTGGACTCCCGGAATGTGGACCTTCAAGGCCCAAGGTTCGGGTGTGACCCAATGAGAATCCGCTGACTGTTCCTCGACGGTTGCGCATGGGTTCATGTCCCGAGGACCCTGCCCCGGCTTTGATGCACAAGTCACCAGTCCATGTCGAAGAACCTCCGATGACAGCCATAACATGATTTCACTGGCACGTTGGCTCCCTCGGCCTTGTCCATGCACTTCTTGACCACCACACCCACGCCTGCCAAAACAATGAAGACAGAGTAGACTCATTATGTCAACGGTTCAGCTTCACTCGGACTTGGCAAATATTCAACGACATGCAAGCAACTCATGCCCATATGTCCGCCCACCCAGTATATACAGGAGCCATGTTGGCAGATCGCAGCGAAAGAATCTTTGGCCGCCTGTACAAAAATCAAAACCTGTGCTGCGCATGACATAACTACTGTGGCCACAACTGCGGCGGGGCTCCCCAGGTCACAATCCAGCTGTCATCAAGGATGGGAATCCCTCAGGGTCTCCGTTTCAGCCCGCTGGTACAGGTTGGATACAGGCCGCCGAGCTTGCAGAATCAATGGCTGGTGCAGAGCTGTCACTGTCGCAGTCACCCTGGCCCAACACATACCACGGCAGGTCAGAAGATATCCACCAATGCACTGCCTCCAGAGCTTGCAGTTCAGGCGGCTCAAGACAAGCAGCCAAGGAAAGGCACACCTGAGGGATGCCAATAACGTAAACCAGAGGAGCCTCACCCTCGAAGGTATGCTCGGGCGACTCTGGGAACTGCAACGTCATGATAACTGTTCCGTGCTGCACAGAACCCGGCTTGAAACAGGGACAGCGGCAGCACGCACAGATCTGCAGAGTGACAGCTCCACTCCCTATATATTATATACACAATGGCAAGCAGACCTGAGAAATGCAGCTTATGGCCAGGCACACCTGTTTCTAGGGATTCTAGGGCAGATTCTAGGGGCGGAGGTTTCACGATGTCTCAAATGACGTGAAGGGTGCAGAGCAACTAACTATCATTACTTTTTATTAAACATCAGCTGAGCTCGCCCACCTGGAAGCCAATGTGCAAAGACGATGCCGAACATGAAGCAAAGGTCCTACGCAAAGCAATCAAGAAAAACAGTCGTCAAGCACGGCCGAGCTCACCAACCTCGAAACCAAAGTGCACCCAAGTCGTCGAAGAGAATGTCGGAGCCGAACCGAGGACGCCCTGTACCGAGCAATGCAAAGACAAGATTAGCCAACAACGGTCTCGAGCTCGCCAACCTCGAAACTAAAGTGCACCCAAGTCGTGGAAGAGAATGTCGGAGCCGAATCGAAGAGATCCTGTACAGAGTAGTGCAAAACAATAAGAAACGATGGCCCAGCTCACCAACCTGTAAACCAGAAGCCGTCAAAGAGCACAAGGACCCTGACCAGAGCAGGTGATATATGTATGCAGCCTCCAGGCAGACACTAAGCCACTAAGCTCCGGACGAAGCCGCGAAGTCATTCAACCACGGCCATCCGGACCTGACGACAGGAATCCCTGCATCACTTTATTCACACGGAAGTGAACCTGTTGCGATTGCATCAAAGGGCTGAGGGCTGGACACAGAACATGTCTTGCCCGCGCCGACCGAAAGCAAGCTAAACGGTGCAGCGCATGACCAATGGAACAAACAAACGATTTGGTAGCAGCAGCCTACATTCCTAGATTCTAGATTCTAGATGAGATGGCATAGTGACCCAGTTGGCCTAGAATGGAGCTAGGACCGCTAGGAGCAATAAGTTTGGGCTTCAACTTTAAAGGACCTCGGCGAACATCCTCAAACTCAGCTCGAGCCATCTCGAGCCCCTTCCGGCCCGTCCAATGCAGTAGGTCAGCAACATGCGCGCAAAGCAAAATGACAATCACCAGTGACCCGCCCCCTGCCAATGTCCTCTTCCTAGCGATGGTCAACCAGTCAGCCATGTCCAAGTGCACAACCGCATGGAAGTAGCCCACCGGCACGCTTGCCGTTTTCAATTCTGCCAGGAACCTGGCCCGAGAGCATTGAAGGCACCACTAGCCGATCAATGACAGGAAGTCCCTGACAGCACTGGCATCACTATCACTAGTCACTAGCCACTAGCCGTTATCATTAACAGTCATTGATTAACAGCGCTCGATGATGACAGCGATGGCATTCGGCAAATGGCTGAGTTCACACTTCAACTGCTGGATTCCTAAATCGGACAGATGACTGATTAGGTAGGTGCAGCACCGCAGGCCTCTCCATCGGAGTGTCGTCACAACCATCCTTCTGTGAACGATCCGGCATGTCGAAGCCTTCGACGTTCTCGAAGCATGCTGTAACTGGCGTGAAGGTTTCAAAAAAATCGACTGCATCTGTAAATGTGATGGCATATGCACTGTGGTCCTGCGGCGAAGTCTTGAAACGTTTTGCCCTCTGGACACTGAAGGGCTTGCACGGTGTGCCAAGGCACGCGAATGCCGGGCTGGAATCAACAACGCACGCCTCCGAGTGAGGATGACGAGTGCACGCACACCCCTGAATCTGCTTCCGAATAGTTTCGTGGGCATGGAAGATTCCAGAGTGGTTGTGCAGAGTGAAGGACCGATACTCCGCACACGGCTCGGAGATGGATGTCGTCTGGAAAGGGATGCCAAGCTCCTTCCGCACCGAACTATCACTAAGAATCTGCTAGACTCGAGTCGCATCCCACTTGGTCCGACCCTACCTGCCTACCGAACCTACGTGTACCGAAGGTTCAGCAACCGCCTCTTACACTGCTAACTGCTTATCGGCAATCAAACCACAGCTCTTTCTCGTCATTTTGATAACCGATAACCCGCCCTCACTGTCCTTGAAAGCGACGCCCTCCACAAAGGCTCCAGTGCACGCACTCAGCACAGAGACGTGAGACTTCGAGCTACCGCCACGGGGATCCCAATCCCGGGTGTGATCCTTGAGCTTCTGCACCCACCAGGAGTCGTCATCTGAAGGCAGCAGCGGCACTCCAGGATCAACATCTTCATCTTCAAAAGGCATGATGAAAGATTGCCCTTCATCGCCTTGACTGGAGGCTGAAGACCTGCATGCATCTGCTTCACTTGTATCCTGGGACAACACCTACAGCTCTTCTTCTGCTGCAGACTTCTCACGCATCTCACGTAAAAAAGCCGTCGCAAAATCAGCCCATTCCTCCTCCACAGGACCGTCCATGGCAACCGCTGCCATTCGACTGATCTGAAACCTAAGCCTAGGGCCTAGGACCTAGGGACCTAGGATGGGCCTAGGTAGGGCCTGGGCCTAGGACCTAGGACCTAGGTAACATGCCCTGTGTCCTGTTGTGACCATGTGCCCTCGAAGAGGCTGCCTTGCGGCGCTGTGTCAAAAAACAACTCTGCGTAACTCTGCCATAAAGCCCAAAATTGCGT